ACCCCGTGTGTGACACCCCCTCCCCGGTCATGTTGATTGTTTTCTGACGCTGGGTAACAGAGGCTGTTGTTGATGTCACAGAGGGGAGGGAGTTAGTGATTCTGCAGTAAGACTAACCCACCATGAGCTGCCTGTTTCAATAGGATGCCTCTCCTGGAAGGAAAGTGTTAACAGGAGTGTTTTCAGGGCGCGCGGGCGGGACTCAGTTCAGGGAGTGCCTGCATGCTAGCATGCCTCTGGCTGTGCCTGTGCCCTCTGTACCCGGGCGTTCCCTGCTCCATTCTGTGAGGAGCAGCAGCTGCGGCTCATGCCCTCGGGCGGCTCTGATTTGCAACAGGAGCGGGACCCACCTCCATGGCAAGCTGGTCTGCCCCTGATATGTACAGCCTGTTCCTGACATAGGCAGCCAGTTTCCATCGTGCGGGTGTGACACGGTCAAGTGCTACCTCTATGGTGTGCCTTTAACCTGAGACAGCAGAGCGACGTCGCTAGCAACACTTAAAATGGTCACAACCGTGTGGAGTTTAGCTACATGCGGGTGGAGTGTAGGATGCCTGTAGTAGACTAGGGACAGGGAGAACTGAACTGAACAGCTCCACACTGGTTAGACATTGCCCCGGTCTGCTGGCTCTGAGCAGCAACTCTACAACAGGCAGTGACTGCGGGACAGAGCCCACCCAATAAAGTCCCCTCCTCGATCAGTCTGTCAGCTTTAATCCGCCTCCTCAATCACTGTCTCTATGGGTAAAGCCTCCTCATTTGAGCTCTCTCTGGCTAAAGCCCCCCTCTCCTTGATCTGTTTCTGCGCAAAGCTGTGGGGTGAGTCTGTAACGTTCTCCTTGTCTCTCACAGGCGATGGTGGTAAGGTCACAACGGTAGTGGCCACCCCAGGGCAGGGGTCCGACAGCACCCAGGAGGTGTCCTACACAGATATCAAAGTGATTGGTAATGGCTCCTTTGGTGTGGTTTACCAGGCCAGGCTTGTGGACACAGGAGAGCTGGTCGCGATCAAGAAGGTTCTGCAGGATAAACGGTTCAAGGTGAGGGGCATGGATGTGAATGGTGGGACAGGCCCAGCAACCCCCCCCACCTCCAGTGCGGGCCATCGCTTGGTTGGGGAGGGATTGGCAGCACCCCCCCCCCCCCCCCCCCCCCAGTGTGGGCCATTGCTCAGTGTTGAGGGGGGGGGGAATTGGCCCCCCCCCCCCCACCACGCCCAGTGCAGGCCATCGCTCGGTGTGAGGGGGTGGAATCGGCCCCCCCCCTCCCCAGTGTGGGCAGTCACTGGATGGCATCAGACCCCGGTGCGGGTCATCGCTCTGGGACATCGGCCCCTGATGGGAGTGGGGGTGGGATCTGTGCCAGTAATCTGTCCCCATTGTTGAGCAAAGAACATTGAACAGTACAACACAGGAGCTGCCCTTCAGCCCACCATGGCTGTGCTGACCATGATGCTATTCCATACTAATTGCATCTACTGGCACAAGATCCATATCCCATTATCTCCTGCCTGTTCACATGTCTGTCTAAATGTCTGTTAAACATTGCTGTTGTGTCTGCTTGTGCCCCCTCCAGTGGCAATGCTCTCAAGGCAATTACCATCCTCTGTGTAAATAAAAAAAGTTTGCTCCGGTTTCCTCCTCGAGTCCAAAGATGTGCAGGTTAGGGTGGATTGGCCATGGGAAATGCAAGGTCGTAGGGATTGGGTCCTGGTTGGATGCTCTTTGGAGGGTTGGTGTGGAGTCAATGGGCTGAATGGCCTGTTTCCACACTATAGGGATTGTAGATCTCCTTTAAACTTCCCCCCCCCGCCTCTAACCTTAAACCTATGTCCCCTGTTCTTTGACATTTCTTGGGAAATATCTTGGGAAATATCTTGGGAAATATCTTGGGAAATATCTTGGGAAATAGACTCACTATCCACCCTATCTGTGCCTCTCATAATTTTATATTCTTCTATCTGGTTGCCCCCTTCAGCCTCTGACACTCCAGCAAAAACAATCCAAGTCTGTCCAACCTCCTTATAGCTAACACACTGCAATCCAGACAGCATCCTGGTAAACCTCTTCTGCACCCTCTCCAAATCCCCTATATCCTTCCTATAGTGTGGTGACCAGTACAGTACACAATACTCCAAATGTGGCCAAACTAAAGTCTTATCCAGCTGCAACAGAACCAGCCAACATTTTTATACTCAGTGCCCCAATTGATGAAAACAAGTGTGCCATGTGCTGTACCACCTTATCCACATGGGTTGCCACTTTCAGGGAGCTATGGACGTGCACCCCGAAATCCCTCTGTATATCAATGCTCCTAAGGGTCCTGCCACTCAGTGTATATTTTCTTCTTGCATTTGACCTCCCAAAATGCATCACCTC